CGCTCCGGCCTCTCCGGCCGCGGTCACTGAGGGGCGTGGGCCGGCCCGCGGCGGCGGCGGCGGCGGCATGAAAGTGACCGTGTGCTTCGGGAGGACCCGGGTGGTCGTGCCGTGCGGGGACGGCCACATGAAAGTTTTCAGCCTCATCCAGCAAGCGGTGACCCGCTACCGGAAGGCCATCGCCAAGGTGAGGGGCCGGGGTCGCAGGCGGGGGCTGGCGGCCCGGGGGGCGGAGGAGGGGCGGAGGAGCGGGAGGAGGGAAGGCGCCGGGATCAATATGGCGCTTCCTGGAAGGGGAGGAGGAGGCGGAGGCGGGGAAAGGGAGCGCGCGGCGGCCGGCCCGGCCTGCGCCCCCCGCTCTGGCTGCGGGCCGCAAACTTCCGCGCGCCCGGGCCCGGGGCCCCGGCTCCTTCTTCTCCCTCGGGTCCCGGCCGCCGGCGCCCCTAGCCTCCCGGGAGCTGAGCCCGAGCCGCGCCGGGGCGCGCGGAGCCGGGCCGGACGCCTGTTCCCGGCCGCGGGCTGCGGCCCCGGCTCCCCGCCCAGGCCCGCGGGCGGAGGCCGGGCGAGGGAACTTTCCTGGTGGAGCAGAGTTCGCTCCGCGCGCTGCGAGAGTGGCTGGCTGGCTTGTGCCTCTGGGCCCCCGCCGGGCTGTGGGAGCCCCTAGTGCGTGCCAGGCGGGGGTCCCGGGCGGATGAGGGCGCGGCGCGGGGACCGACCCGCTCCCACTGGCTCGCGATCGTCGCTTGAGCCTAGCACCTCGGTGACCGAGAGGCGCCGGAGCACGGCTCCTTGAAGGAGCACAGCCCCGAAATCGGTCACCGAATATCGAGTTTTCCTGCAGGCACGTCGTCGTTGACCTGTCTGCCACGAGCTCCATGTGTAGCCGGGGCCGCGCGCGGCCCGGGCCTGGAGTTGAGTAGCTTTCCCTTTTTCCCCGTGGAGTGATAACATTGTCTCCACTTCACTGCATTCCTGTACAATGTGTCAGAAGTGAAAAGGCATCTTGTTAAATTGTTTTATCGTCTGTGTCTGTTTGACAACAACCCACGCCTCCCAAGTTTCTCCCCAGCACCTGAGGATATTTCCTTTGCGGCAGAGTAACGTTTGGTGGAAAGCATGTTCACTTTCAGAATTTCCTTTTTGTCCCCGATCTTGGAGTGGTTTGCGTCCTGTGGGTTTGGGGGGGTCGCAGGTGAGAGGGACGGTGGCTTTGGCAAGCCTGCTTGAGTGTAGACAGGGTGCTGGGGTGGCATTCTCCAAAGTCTCAGAAATTAAGAGGGGAAAAATACTTTTTACACTGTTGTTATTAGTATAGAGAAAAATAGCATAAATTTGGCCTTTTAAAGATAATCTTGGGAACGTTTAAGAACCTGACACAATGATGGAAGATGTTGACTTTACTTAACGGCTCTAAAATGTTCTTTACAGTTGGTTGAACTCATTGAAAATCAAATAAAATTAGTGGAAATTGGGCACCTGTTTATCTTGAACCACTGTCAAGGGGGAAAACTCCTCTAAACCCATGTTTAGCATTTTAAAGCACTGTTTATGAATGACAGTTTGTGATCTAAATGTTCTATATCAATAAGTCAGGTTGCATATGTACTCAGGAAACCAACAAAATAAATCATGCAAGGAAAGAGAAATACAGTAATATATACTCTGCAGTGTGTCCAGGTTCCTGAGTAGGGAGGGGTAATCGACATATCTTTGCTTACATGCTTAATTTAAAATTTACATGCTTAAAATTAGTCATTTACATGCTTAAACATTTACATGCTTAAAATTAGTCATATTTCATTATGCACATGATGCCTGTTGGTCGAACAGCTTGTTTGGGAGATACAAATGTAGTTGTTTGAGTCATTTGTATGTTCCACAGAAATTCTTAAGCGTTTGCCATGTCCAAGGCATTGTTCTGGGTGCTGGACACCTGCGGGACCCACTGGCTGCTTGTGGAAATTGGACTATGAGAGTCTAGGAAAGGGGCTCCACAGTCCTCCAAGTGAGGGTGGCCAGCCTTTGGACTGGCCAGCCTTTGGACTTCGTGGTGCAGTGGGGAGAAGACAGGCCTCTGGGGTGTCTTCTAGTTGGAGTTGAGAGGTATCGCTGAGAGATTTGGACTTTGTTTTTAGGTATCAGTGGTGGTGGTTTCACAGTGACTGGGGAGCAGGAAAGGAAGCGCAAGTTTTTGCGGCGTGCCTGGGAAGGCACCCCAAGAGGAGCACAACAGCTGAGTTGTGAAGGGTAGGCATGAGATTGATTACTTTTTCTGGTGGAGAAGGAAGGAAGCAAGGGTGATTCTCAGAGAGTGATGGTATTGTTGGAGTTGGAGATGAATGACTCAGAGATGATTCAGGGGTTTCCAAAATTATTTAAGTTCTCTTTAAGTGCAACTCACAGATCAGCAGGTAAGTTTTAAAATGGGCTTTGTGGTCTACAAAGTTCACTCATTGGATCACAAGACTGTTGACTCTCAACTGTGGCAAGAGCTGGAGTTTATTCCAGGTCCATTTGCATTTTTTCCTCCTAAATGATTAGGTAAATGGCTAAGATTAAACTTCAGTCACTCTTCCCATTTCTCCCACCCGGTTTAAAATGATTATGAAGCAAACACTTATTAACACTTGTTTTACCTTTTATTCTCTTATCTCTTCCTTACCCCTTACTGTTGAATAGAACAAGATAAATTTTGTATGAAGAATTGGATAACTGGGTAGCTGTAGAGTGGTGTTTGGTTGCTAGGTGACATGTGCCATGATGAACTCCCATCTGGTGGGGAAAAATGGGGGAAGATCATGTTTATGGCTTTGTATAAAAACCAGATAAGGTGAAAAAAAAAAAAAAGAAAGAAAAAGAAAAGAGAAAGGAAAGAGAAAGAAAGATCCCAAACCACAAGACTTTCTCTGCAGAGAGCATTTTGTGGTGTGATGGGGCTAAGTTTTTGGCATTATACTTGAGCTGTTTTCAGGTTAAGCAAATCAGTTTCTCTGGGCAGTGGAGTGGCATGACTTAATATCAGAAATGTCCTCAATAAGCAGGTATTTGAAGGCTTACACTTATTCATAGCATTTTTTTTTTTTCTCCAGTGAAAAAATAGTTTTCTGTTTATGATCACTGATGGGTGAAAATGCTTTGGCTGTTCTCCATCCAGCCATCCTCATCCAGACCGTCTCTAAGGAGGGTGCTCTGGGAGACACTGAGGACCGTGTTACATGGACTTTCTGTGTATGTGACCCTTCTTCTCCTACCTGTAGCCTGACTCATCCGTGATCCCCAGTGGACACAGGGTGCAGAGCACCAACTGCCGGGACTCTGTAGTGTGGTGACTTGGCTTCTCAGGGCTTTGCCGGAACCTTCTTAATTCTGAGTGGATTGGGGCTGGCTCTGACATTTCCCATTTTTCCTTCTGTGCATCCCAGCTCTGGTTAGGAGAAAGATAAAATCTCCATGCTTTTTTTTTTTTTAATTGTTAATTTGTTGAAGGGCTACTGTATGCAAAATGTCATGCTCTATGAAGAAATGTAAGGCTAAATTCTTGCACTGCAGAAGAATGTAATCTGGGAGACAGGTGAATATATTAAACTATAAATAACAGTAGGCAATGGCATTAATTAGCAACAGGGTGGTACATACAGATAGTAGTTGCTTCTGGATTTCAGAGATGGGAGTGGTCATTATGGCCTGGGGGGTTTGCCTCGGGCTTAGTAAGTGGGAAGGCTGGCCTGGATTTAGGACAGTGCTTCCTAACTGGTTAGTGGGGTGACCTCCAGAAGCACCTGCCTGGCCCAGGTGGCCCAGTCTGTAGGGCTTCGGTAGGGTCCAGCCGTGTGAGTCTGGAGAGTTGCTGCCATTCTGAGAGGTGGGAGAGAGGCGTTGCAGGTGAGCATCAGGGCTAGTTTGGCTCCTGTGCTGCCTTTCCTATCGGTTGGTGGGGCAGGACCAAGCTGAGGAGGACTGGGGACGCTGGGGCAAGACACTGTAACTTCCTGCAGTCTGATGGTCCCTGATGGAGGACTGGGGTGTTTGGGCAGGACGAGTGTTCCTCTGGGAGGATCACCAGGATTGCATTCATCCACAGAAACACTGCTGATTGCTGAGTAGTGGAGGGAAGACGGGCTAAAGGCAGAAGTGAGGGTGGGGGGCGGCTGGAGCCTCTTAGCTGAGAGGCAGCTATGCCGCCCATAGACCTCTTCTGGCAGGGGGAGCTTTGGATTGGGTTTGGAGACCTAGCTGTTTTCACCATTGAACCTTGGGCACACCAACCCTACAGAGCCTCATTTCCTCCCCTCTAAAACGGGTTACTCCCTGGCAGGGTTCCCGGGAGTACCGAGGGGATGGTGAATGGGAAGCTCCTCAGCACTGCCTCTGGATCCCTAATGGGTTTTACTGGGTGGATGGTTTTACTGCCTGTGAGGCTTTTCCCAAGCAGTCAGCTCTTCCTGTTTTGGGTTTTCCTCTTTGCTTAAGAAGAAAGTGTGTAATTTAATTAAAGAATAGGTAGAAATGGTAATATTTGCCTAAGCAGCGCCACAATCAGAGGAGCAGATTTGTGTGTGTGTGTGTGTGTGTGTGTGTGTGTGTGTGTGTGTGTGTGTGTGTATGAGGCAGGGAACGTAAAAGTTGTGGATATTGGCTTTACCCTAGGTTGCTTTCTGGGCCTGTGGTTTTGGGGTCACTGCTTCTGTCCCTTGAGCATGGAAGAGTTATGTGAGAGTTATTTAATAGCAATTTGTTGTTATTAAAAAAAATAACAAATTTTTGGGCAGTAACTTTTGAAAATATGCTTTCCTTTCTTTTGGGGGGAGGAGGACTGTTGATTACTAAAATCGTGTAAATCTTGGTTTTTATGACAAATCTTGTGGGTGGTGTGAGATTTCTCGTGAACAGATGGATGACTGCATGTTGTTACACATTCACGAGCTTATTGAAACTTTTAGGAAAATAGATTGTTGCAGAATTTGAATGACCATATTTTTGAATAGTGAAAGGAAATAAATCTTATTATTTCATTAACATCTTCCCATCTTCCCTTTCAGAAAGGAAAAAATAAACAAACATGTCTGAAAGGCTGATCTTTCTAAAATGCAACTCTCCGTGTACTCTTCTGCTTAAGGGCCTCGACACCCGCTTTCCCCAGAGGCCAAGTTCTGCCGCCTCAGCAGGGCCTGTCCCTTGCAGGACCCC